CAGCAGGAAAGAGAGGCCTTTTATATAAAGGATCCAAAAAAGGCTCTCCAAGGTTTTTTTGACCGAGAAGGTATGTAAACAGATTCTGACACTGCCAGTGTAATGTATCCACAACAGGGTGGTTTTCCAGATCTTTAGGTATTTAGAAATGCGGTAATTTATCTGCTCTCCTCCTTGTTCAGTTCTTGCCTGTGTGGTCAGTTGCTTCAGGTTTATTTTGAAAATAGTAAGAATTTTGTTATTTTTTCACATCTTGGAACAAAGGAAATACTTTGGCCTGACTTCATCCCCTTCTTGTCAAAAGATCCAGGACTGGGGTGGTGGGGAGATTGACCCAACTTCTTGTCATTGTTTTGTTTCTAATTCACGTGATCTTTTGTAATTCTTAACATGGATTTTCACTTTGTATGATTTAAAGAATGTTTCCACAAAGAATAGTTTCAGTGGAAATGCTTTGAGAGAACATCTATGTGTATGTGTGCACGTGTGTATGAGTGTAAATATATATATGAGCTGCTTGCATTCTGCACTTAGTATTTATGCTTCTAAAAACTAGGCAACCATGATAAATTAACACTAAGTCTACAACTTATAAGTGTGAAAGCTCCTATATAGGGGACAAACCTGTGTATGGAGAGTTGTTTTGATTTGAGTTTGGGCTTTTCTCTGCCTCAAGCTCATTCTAATTTTATTATCAGATAATAATTCCTAGGAATAGGAAGTGAAATGCTTTGAAATTTCATACTCAATGTGGTATGAAAACTTTATATTCTTACTTAACCTTTGCTGTCTTTTCCCTTTGTATCAACTAGTAACTTTCAGATGCTATTAAAATTGTTTTGTCTTTCTTTCTTCCACAGGAGAAGAATTAGAATATGAATTTGATGAACAGGGTCATAGCACTTGGCTTTGCAGGGTGAGGTATGTTCTTTTCTCATTAACATCCATTTATGGAAAGTGGTCAATTTCAGGTTTAATTTATGGTTACAGACAACAACCCAAAGAGCAAATTTAATCTTAATTTTGGTCTATTCCTGAATTTGGACCTTGATAGTTTAGTAACACATTGGGGTTAGGGTGGGATGAGTAAAAGGTGGAAGGAAAAGATTTGAAGTCCAACCATGGCAAGATAGAACAAAATGAACTGAGAGATTAAAAAGCCATCTCAGGGCTTCCCTGGTGGCGCAGTGGTTGAGAGTCCGCCTGCCGATTGAGGGGACACGGGTTCGTGCCCTGGTCCGGGAAGATCCCACATGCCGCGGAGCGGCTGGGCCTGTGAGCCATGGCGGCGGAGCCTGCATGTCCGGAGCCTGTGCTCCGCAACGGGAGAGGCCACAA